TTTGCCATGTTGGCCAGGCTGGTCTCGAACTCCTGACCTCAGGTGATCCATCCACCTCGGCCTCACAAAGTGCTAGGGTTATAGGTGTGAGTCACCACACCTGGCTGACTGCATTTATTTTTTGGGACCACTCTAACAAACCTGCAAACTGGGTGGCTTAAAACAAATGTATCCTCATGGTCATGGAGGCTGAGAGTCCGAGGTTGAGGTGTGGGCGGGCCCAGCTCCTCCTGAGACGCTGAGGTGGACCCTTCTTGCCTGTCTGTCTGGCAGCATTCCCAGCTTGGAGAAGCTTCCCTCAAATCTCTGCTTCCATCTTCTCCATCTTCTTGGTTGTCTTTTCATGGTCTTCCCTCTGTCTCTGTGTCTAAATGTCCCCATTTTATAAGGACACCAGTCATTTGGGTTAGTATCCACCCAGTGACCTCATTTGAGCTTGATTACCTCCATAAAGACCCTGTTTCCAAGTAAGGTCACACTCTTAGGTACTGGGGGTGAGGCCTTGCACATAGTCTTTCTTGGGGAGCACAACTCAGCCCATAACAGGGCAGGTGGACCTTCCAGGCCTCTCAGGGGCCAGGCTTATTACCTCCCTGACTTCCTGTCCAGCCAGCCAGGAGGCAGGGCTGTGCAGCCGGGCTGCTGGGTTAAAAGCCAATTCTTTTTTTTTTTTTATTGAAACAGGGTCTCTCTGTCACTCAGGCTGGAATGCAGTGGTACAATCTTGGCTTACTGCAGCCTTGACCTGCTGAGCTCAAGTGATTCTCCCTCCTCAGCCTCCCAAGTGGCTGGGATCACAGGTGCATGTCACCTTGCCTGGGTAATTCTTACATTTTTTGTAGAGATGAGGTTTTGCCATGTTGCCCAGGCTGGTATCAAAAAATCCAGCTCTATCATGTGAGCCGGCAATCTAATAGGAGCCGTCAGATGGTGATGATGGTGACTTGCCTCAGAGACTGTGTGGCCTGGCTCAGCCGGAGCTAATGGGGATGTGGATCACCTCCTTTGCCATTTTTTATTTTGAGAGAAACTTCTTATTAAAGTTTTGAAGATGTATCTGCTTCCTGGGGAAGAGATGGATTAAGAAGGTGGGGTATGAACAGCAGCCCTGGTCAGGGGAACTGTCTCCCCACATGGTCTGGGACAGACGCTCAGGGAGTTTCTGGGAAGGAGTGTGTATGTCCCCATGTCCTCGTGAGTCCAGCCTGGTGACATTTGAGGAAGTGAGGCTAGATGTGCAGTGTGCCACGCGGACGTGGGAGTCATGCAACCCCTGTCTTCACCAGAGACAGCTGTCAGCAGCAGAGCTTCCCCAGGGGCAGGACCCGCCAGAGGGAAGCCAGGCCCGCACTGCTCTCTGTCACTGCCTCTTTTGGGAGTTGCCATTTTATAAAGCAGAAAAATCCCACCTCAGGGTTCATGGGTTTATTTTAAATTTTTTATTTTTCAGTTAAACTTATTTTAAAGTTGTGTTCACCAAAAGCAATAAGACTATAATGGTATATAAGGAAAAAATTGCCCCCATTCTCCCCACACACACACTTTGAAGCTATATGAGCAGCCTGGCTTCTGTCTTTCTGTATTTCCTCCCAGCCACATGTGGGGGTTGTGTTTCATTGGCATGTTTTTACAATAGCAAAGTGGGGCTACCGCACCCGCACCCACAGTCACCTTGCTCCTCTCTGCCCGCAGGTCCTGGAGGTTCCTCCAGGTCTAAGGGCCTCGTGGTCTTCCACAGTGTGGAGTGCTGGTTAATTCACTTGCTGTCCTGCTGGCAGATGACCTGGTCAATGCAGGACTTCTGCTGGGCCATTGCACTGACTTCACTCTGCTCTGCATGGGTCCTGTGGATTCATCCCTCTTGCTGCCCCCACACCTCACCTTCTGCTGTCTTTTCTGTGTTAGGCAACAGTCCTAGAAACTTTGGAATCCGCTTTACCTTGTTTGCCACCCTACGTTCAGTTGCTCATCAGATCCTTTAGCGCCATCCCCTTTCCTGCTGTGTATGTCCCACTCCACTAGGCACCTGAGTTATTCGCAGGCTCAGCCTCCCTAGCCTCCCTCCTGGCTGGCCCATCCTTAAGACCTGTTGGGGATCTTTCCTTCCCTTACTTGCATCTTCTCACACCTTGAGTGACCTTAGACCTTAGCGTTCCAGTCTCTACACAGACCTCGCCCTCACTGCAGTATCTGTCCCTGCCCATGCTGGCCTCAGCCCATACCCTGCCTAAGGCTGGGCCTGCAGGTCTGGCACCATTGTAAGATTGCACAGGAAAATGACTTGGTGCTTTCTGAGAGCTTCTGCAGTGTGTGCATGTGGGTGTGCATGTGTGTGTGTACGTGTGGATGCATATGTGTGCATGTGTGTGAGTGTGCATGTTTGTATGCATGTCTGTGTGTACGTGTGTGTATTAATCCACCAGTAAGCCTAATTTCCATCTCTTTATTTCCTACAGTAAGGGTTCCCTATTTCATTGATTTGAAAAAACCACAGGATCAAGGTTTGAATCACACATGTAACTACTACCTGCAGCCAGAGGAAGATGTGACCATTGGAGTCTGGTAAGTGCTGGTAAGCTCTGTAGCCCTTCCAGCAGCAGGAAAAGGCCCTACATGGCTGAGCTGGTGCTGTCTTTGACACTGGCCTCTGAAATGTTGTTCATTTTTATCTTCACCTCTTCCTTTCCTAAAGGAAAGATCTCAGTACATTTGATCCTAGTGTTGAGGGATTCAGTGACTTTAAACTCTATTCCCAGCAAAGGCTTTGTGAAGAGATTATTATTTTTAGAGAACCTTGTTTCTAGGAAAAACAAACAAAGAAGCTAGAAACAGGATGTAAGTGGCCGGCACAGTGGCTCACACTTGTAATCTCAGCACTTTGGGAGGCTGAGGCGGGTGGATCACTTGAGTCCAGGAGTTTGAGACCAGCCTGGGCAACATGGTGAACCTGTCTCTACTAAAAATACAAAAATTAGCCAGACATGGTGGTGCACGCCTGTAATCCCAGCTACTTGGGAGGCTGAGGCAGGAGAATCACTTGAGCCCAGGAGGAAGAAGTTGCAGTGAGCTGAATTCACACCACTGCACTCTAGCCTGGGTGACAGAGCAAGACTCTGTCTCAAAAAAAAAAAAAAAAAAAAAAAAGAATATAAGGGAAGAATCGCAAACACTCTTTTGAATATATCTTCCATCCAAGCGCGGTAGCTCACGCCTGTAATCCCAGCGCTTTGGCAGGCCGAGACAGGGGGATCACTTGAGATCAGGAGTTCGAGACTAGCCTAAACAACATGGCGAAACCCCGTCTCTGCTGAAAAAAAGTACAAAAAGTAGCCGGGCGTGGTGGCATGCACCTATAGTCCCAGCTACCCGGGAGTTTGAGGCAAGAGAATTGCTTGAACGCAGGAGGCAGAGGCTGCAGTGAGCCGAGATTGTGCCACTGCACTCCAGCCTGGGCAACAGAGGGAGACTCTGTCTCCAAAAAAAAAAATATATATATATGTATATATATATATGTCTTTTCCAAGAAGTGAAAACAGCTTGATTTCTTTTCACATATAGCTTCGGTGATGGTGTTGGCTGTCTTCTAAGTATTTACTTTTTTAAGCCATAAATTTACGTTGGACATAAGCCTCGTGACTTCTCTGTGTCTCCTTGGAATACATTTTAATGTTTTCTTCTGTACATAAATGGTGCTTCTGAACAACTGAATTAAAATCGACCAACCTCACTGTGGCATTTCCCTTTTTCTCTGACAAGTGATCCTGAATCACAGCCCCTTTATCTAGCTGAATTTATTTTTCAGTAGCCATAACGTCCCTTTCCGCTGTCTCAGAAAACCACTGTGTATGTGAGAAGCTTCTAAATGAAATGCTGTGAGTAGCTTCCCAGTGTGGATGAGAGAACATTCAGGCATTTCTAACAGTGGTCCTTGGTAAAGAACATAAAACAAGAAGAGAGATTTTTGTTCTTAGTAGTTGGTGCTAGAATTAAAGTCTTTTGTCACTTCCTGATTTGATTTAATCTAGCATTTACTGACCAACGTGTGACTGTGGGACTCTGGGTTTCTGTCTGAAGCGTGACCTGTTTTGCACAGAGCTGCTGAGTGGGACTTGGTCAGCCCTCTTCTTGGTTAATATGAGTCTGTCCTATTGCAGGAGGGTGTTTATGGTGGTAAGACGTAGGCTGGAAGTACTAACAACATCTGCATATATTATCAGTTACCAGAAAAGGTTTTGTTTAGTGATGCTAGTGGCAAGTCTCAAGGCGGTGCCACGCTGTGTGTTGCTGTGTGTTGGTGGGTGTGGCTGCTGCCTACTCTCATGCCCTAGGCAGTCACAATGACAGTGGGCCCTCAGGTAGCAGCGGGCCCAGCTCACCAACTGCCCCCACCATCACTTCATCAAACCCTCCCACCAGCTTCCTGAAAGGAGGGCCTCAAGGCCTAGCGTGAAGCCTGGGGGCCATACCTGGCCATGCCTGGCCATCGCCTGTCTGCTGAGAGAAGAGGCCCAGGAATGGGTTTCTCTGCTGGCTAGGAGTTCCCTGGCTCTTTGTCAGGAACCCAGGTTTGGGGTGGGCTGGCTACTGGAAGCACATTTGCTCCCAGCACCTTCAAAATGTGCCGTCCTATCCCTCAAGTTTATAACCGTATGGGAGTGATGATCATAGTGACTAGATCCACCCCAAAATGTGATCCTCTTGAACGGATCAGAGACAGAAGTTAGATGAGATGCTGAAGCTTAAAATCTAGAAAATAAGAAGTTGGCCATTAAATTTTTTTTAAAGATTCTTGTCACTGGTATCCAGAATGAATTTGAAGAAGCTTTACAGAAAAGTGATTAATTTTGACCCTCCCCAGTGATTAACAATATTCGATTTGGCCTGAGTTAAAATTAACCTTAGTATCTCTCGGAAGGAGGGTTTGGCTAGTTAGACCAGCAGCTTCAGAGTGCCCAGCCAGGCGTGGACCATGAGCAGGCCGGGAAGTTGGTGCATACTCGACGTTAGAAATGGCGTCAGCGATGGCCTGGTTTCTAGTCAAGCTCACAAACATTGGTGTTGCTGAATTAGCAAATGTGACAGCATGTACTGTTTAAAATCCATTGTGAGTTAAACTGTGGACAGGTGAAGCATGGGGTTAAGTGGGATGTGGGGCACATATGAGGAAAATGTTATTACTTAGGATGAACTAAGTGCTGCTACTCTGCTAGGCGTCGGTGGTAACTGTCACATTGCAAGCCTTTGTGGCCCAGAGGAGGCTGGCCTGCCAGTCAGGGAACACTCCTGCTGAAGCTGTCAGCACCATCCACACAGCCTGCAGTTCCGTGGTTATTGATTCTAGTGATGGGGTTAGTTTTCTACCACCCACCCCCATCTGTTCCCCAGTAGTTAGATGGGGTCTGCAGCTCCCTGCTGTCTGGACTTGAGCTGATTAAGTAACACCACATGCAGTCGCCTGGATGAGGACGGAAGGAGCATCTGATCCTGCGCTCCCCTCTGCTTCTGTCTCCAGGCATACCGTCCCCGCAGTCTGGTGGAAGAACGCCCAAGGCAAAGACCAGATGTGGTATGAGGATGCCTTGGCTTCCAGCCACGCTATCATTCTGTACCTGCATGGGAACGCAGGTACCAGGTGAGGGAGGGGAGTCCATCTTTGCTATGGAGCACGGCTCCTCTTTGGGGTGGGAATGTCCTGGCCCAGTCTGCTGGAAACCAGCAGGAGCTAACCTGCGACCCCACAAAATCAGGAGTACTGATCCACTGCAATGAGGGAGAACCTCCCAAGAACAAAGGGAAAGGCAGAGTTCTTAAGGGGTTGAGGGAAGACCGAGTTTAGGTGAACGTTACATGAAGCAGGGTTCCCACAGCTTGAGGCCAGCAGGGCTGTGTTCCGCAGGGACCAAGTGTGGGAAGCTGTGTGCAGACCGTCTGCTATCTGGAACTCCAGCCTGGGTTGGGATGGAGGAGGCTGAGTCTTGGTCAGGGGTTGAGCTCCCGGGCCAGAGGGCATGTTTTTTTCTCCCTGTTGTAATCTCAAAGGGCACAGCATCTGCTGTTATGTGATTTGGGGAGCAGGGTTCTTGGAGAGTGAGGGCTTTGGGGTCCCTCTGAGAAGGGGTCATGGTGGCACTTGACTGTGGCAGCCTCATGCCCTTGGGAATGGGCGGCTCCAGCTCACTGGCAGCTGGTTTTCCCCATATCTGTCATGCAGCCTGAAGTGGCAGGCAGATCTTTGTTACCTGTAAGATAGCTCCAGGTGGCAGACAGGTGAAGCCAGAGCCAGGGCAGCCCTGGAGGAGGAGGCATACTTCCTGGAAAAAAGTGGCGGGTGCTGAGAAGGGGCAGAAGGGAGAGGCTGAATGTACCAGGGGCTGGGGTCCTTGCCGGGCACCCTACAGTGTGGGCTCTCTGCTCACTAACGGGCTGTTGGTGAAGTACATGCGCTTTGTTTGATCAGCTCTGCCCAGTGCTATCTCAGATGCTTTTCCTGAGTGGGCCTAATGGCTTGTCCTTTCCACTGGCTGCCCTGTAGTTGGCCTCCCTGCCTTAAAGGGTGCTCCTTCCACACCATGTGACTGCTGTTCAGAAGAGCCTCTGTGGGAGAGCCCAGGGTGGGTGTGGGGGGGATACATTTTCTGAACAAAGCATTGTTTGAAAACCACCAAGGTCTTCATGTGTGAGAGAGGCAGCCAGGAGCCAGCGCAGAGGCAGACCCAGCATGGACACAGGGCTGCTGCAGGGCCAGGGCCGAGGTCCACTGTGGCACCAGGGTGTGTCAGGGCTAGGGGCAAACATTTTATAGGCAGAGCCAGCAAGGAGAGCCGTGCTGGGCCCTTCTGGAGGCGAAAGCAGGCCTAGGTGGGTGTCTGCATGGTGGAGCCCTGCAGAGGGCATTGCTGAAAGAGCCCAGCGGCATGGTCCATAAGGCGGTTTCTGTGCCAGGGACAGCGTGTCTAGCTACTGAATCACGCATGTGCTGCACAGTTTCCTTTCTTCTTTGTCTGGGACAAGCTGCAGCGGGTTTCTCTTCTGCTTTTCAAAGAGCAAGCGGCTACAAACAGCTCCTGCAGCATCTTTTTATAAATGAGAGAACTGTGGTTGGCTGTGAATAAGGTTCAGTTCTGCAGTGCCCATCACATGGTTAAAAAAAAAAAAGAACCTGCTTGTAACTTCAGGTTAGAAAATGATGCTGTGACTTTCAAGGTTTGCTGCCCCCTCCCACTCCTGCAGAGAGTGCCTGGCTGCAGGCCTCGCCACCCCCGTGTTGCCTGCTTTCTTTGTCCTGTGCATCCCAGTGGGGTTTCGCTGGTCTGTGGGATCCACCACGCGGATCTCCCTGAGGTCCAGACCCCCTGGATTCCCAGCAACTGTTACCTTTTTGCTTAATGTAGGAAATTTTATAAACTTAGAAAAGAGCCACTATGAACTCTTACAGTGATCACTGAAAATACTTTGCAGTGTTTCCTCCTTGTCTTGAAACTCCTTCCTTTATTTTTTATTTTAATTTTTGAGACAGAGTCTCACTCTGTTGCCCAGGCTGGAGTGCAGTGGCGCAGTCCTGGCTCACTGCAACGTCAGCCTCCCGGGTTCAAGTGACTCTTCTGCCTCAGCCTCCCGAGTAGCTGGGATTACAGGCACCCACCACCACGCCCAGCTAATTTTTGTATTTTTAATAGAGACGGGTTTTACCGTTTGACCAGGCTGGTCTCAAACTCCTGAGCTTAAGTGATCCGCCCACCTCAGCCTCCCAAAGTGCTGGGATTCCAGGCATGAGCCACCGGCCTGACCCTTTACATTTTTGTTTCTGCACTTTATTGACTTCCTCCTTCATCTCATCCTGGTCTCCCACCAGCAACACTCCTGCCCCCATACCTGAAATGGTGAAACCGCTCCTGAGGAAGGAGGAGCACAGCTACGGAGTGTGGAGAGTGTGGACCCGCCCTCCTCCCAGGTGGCCCATGTCCCTGCTGTGGGGTCCGTCCAGGTTAACAGTGGGAACGGAGCCTAGACAGGCCTCAGACAAGGAAGTACAAATGGGGGTGTGTTTGCCGAGCCCACTTAGTCTCCGTAGCGACATGCACGGTGAAGCTGTAGTTGACTGTGAGGACCAGGAGGCAGCCATTCCTGCACTTCAGGGTCTCCCTGAGGAGATTCTAGGAGCATATCCCATGCGTGGAACACACACACGTGAAGGGCTGTAAGGCAGGGTGGCCGCGGCAGCAAATAGAAGTTAGTGCCAGGTGGGAAACAGCCGAGATGACCACGAGAGGCCAGGGCAGTGCAGCTAAGCAGAGTTCTGAAGGTCAGCTGAGACGTGTGGAGCAAGAAGTGAGGGCAGAAGGTGTCCACACAGGCCCTGTTGGAGCACAGCCTCTGTCCACACAGGGTGTCCCTGGCACGGGGAAGCTGGCAGGGGCTGGGGTGTGGTGGATGAAGGCTTGCTGTGTTTCCTTTAGTGTCTTTCTAGTTTGGGACTATAGGTGTGCATTACCTACTGAAAAATAAAAGCAGTCGTTAAGAAATCTCCCCAGAGTGCTAAGACTATCTCCCCCTTGGCACAGCACTGCCAGAGGCGAGTGTGGGGCCACTTAGGGGGCCCCAAGGAGGAGGTTGCCCTCTTTCATTGGCCTTTCCCTGGTTTGGGGTACGGAGGACAAGTTGACCTGGGGCCTGACTCTGAGAAGATGTGCTCACACCATGTCCTGTTTCCTTCTCCAGAGGAGGTGACCACCGCGTGGAGCTTTACAAGGTGAGTGCAGGTGGCACCCACACCTGTTCCCTGGGCTGTTCTTTCCAGGGCAGGAAGTAAAGGGAGTCACCAGACTCACAGCTTGAGAGTTAACTATTGCTGTGCTGTTTCTGTGTGTGAGACAGGGTCCTCTTGCTCTGTTGCCCAGGCTGGAGTGCAGTGGTGCGGTCACAGATCACTGCAGCCTCGACCTCCTGGGCTCAAACTATCCTCCCACTTCAGCCTCCTAAAACTGCAGGTGCATACCACCACCACACCCAGCTAATTTTTGTTGTTTTTTTTATAGAAATGAGGTCTCCCTATGTTGCCCAGGCTGGTCTCAAACTCCTGGGCCTCCCACCTTGGCCTCCGGAAGTATTGGGATGACAGGTGTGAGCCACCATGTCTGACCTTTTGTTGGCCTTTTTAACACTGCCTTTGGATGGGTGTGCTAGAAAGTAGGGCCTTAGCTGCCTCTGCTGTGACTGCCCATCACACTGCCTCTAGGCTTGGGCCCCAAAATCGGAATGTATGGGCTTGGTAGACCAAGTGCAGATATTGGCAGACTACATAAATGGCATTGGAAATTGTTTTTCAATGTTACATTACTTGTGTATAAAATGAAAAGAGAGGGCCGGGCGCAGTGGCTCATGTCTGTAATCCCAGCACTTTGGGAAGCCAAGGTGGGCGGATCACAAGGTCAGGAGTTCAAGACCAGCCTGGCCAAGATGGTGAAACCCAATCTCTACTAAAAATACAAAAAAAATTAGCCAGGTGTGGTGGCAGGCGCCTGCAATCCCAGCTATTCAGGAGGTTGAGGCAGAGAATTGCTTGAACCAGGGAGGTGGAGGTTGCAGTGAGCCAAGATGGCACCACCGCACTCCAGCCTGGGTGACAGAGCGAGACTCCGTCTCAAAAAAAATAAAAAAAGAAAAGAGAAACCAGGTGCCCCAGGTGCTACACTGACTGCCAGATCGCAGGCTCACCCCAGCAGAGGGTGCAGGCGGGATTTGAATCAGCTTCCAGGCACACAGTGGGAGCACCTGCAGATCTCCCCACGTCCAGGGGGTGTCTAGGGCAGGGCGTGCAGACCTTTACTTGTGCTTGGCTGCTTGATTTTGTTCTTCATCTGGTTGTCTGGGTCTTGGAGCCGAAGAGCTACTGTTGGAACAGCCTCACTCTCCTCCCCTCAGAGGGCCATCTGCACCGGCCCACAGGACAGAAGGGGATACAGACAGAGGCAGGGGCACAGACAGAGGTAGGGGCACACCCAGCTCTGAGCTATTGGAGGATTTTACCCCTGGAGTAAATTGCATTAAGTCAGGAAAGGTGGGGAGAGTTTGAGAAGTGATTGGTTCTTTCTTTAGGTTTCTGTTAAAAGAAATGATTCACCCTTCTGAGGTCAACAGGGTTGGAGCAGGTTGGCTCTGGGTATAGACTCTGTGGTGGCTAGGAGCTGGCAGGGAAGTGCCGGCTGCCCTGGGGAAGCACCCGACTCCCTCCCTAAAGAGGGGAGCTGTGATTCTGGGTGACGAGATGGTGCGGCAGCCTCCCATGTTGCTCTGGGCACACCCCAGCAAGGGCACAGGAGCGTTGAGGTGTGATCTAAATCAGAGAGGTCAGCTAGTCTGTAGGGATTGAAAAAAAAGTAACAGAAAAAAATTGACAAGAGCTTAAAATCCAAGAAATACTGGGTTGCAGCAAGGGTCCTCAGATGGGGTCTCTATATAGTATAGCCCTCCTCCTGGCGGTCCGCCATCACACTGCAGCACCGAGAGCTGTCCCCAGAGGAGGCCGCCCCAGAGGCTGCCCTGCAGCACGCGTGGAGCTGGGGCCTGGGACCTGGGACCTTCGGGAGTCTGCGCCTGGCCCTCTAAGTCTAAGCAGGAGGAAGGGGGATGCTTCCCTAGCGTCTAAGCAGCAAGAAGGGAGAGCCTTCCTGTGCTCCCAGGCAGGGATGTCAGCAGGTCCAGAAGCAGCAGTTGGCATCTGGGTTTCATAAAACCCAGCCGGGAGTCAGGCAGCATGTCACAGTCTTTGTGAAGCTGCCACTACGCACAAGGCACGGGAGGGAAAATCGGATGAGTTTAGTAAGCGGCAAGCTGCCCTCAACACAGACACTTGGATTTGTTGCCAAAGATGTTTATTTTTCACTTTACAGGTGCTGAGTTCCCTTGGTTACCATGTGGTCACCTTTGACTACAGAGGTGAGATTTCTTTTGCAAGAGCATCTGAGCACATTTCCACTGCTTGCTGGCAGTATCCCATGGGCAGGCCTCACTTGAAGAGGCTCGGAGCAAGACCAGCGCCTGCTTTGGCTGTGCTGTGAAGGTTTCCTGGGTCCTGACAAAGCCCCTGATGGAGCTGCCGGGAGAGTCCCTTCTGGTAGGGGAGGCTCAGCACCTGGAGCCCCCAGCAGATGCCCTGTCAGCAACTTTTTTTTTTTTTTTTTTTTTTTTGAGATAGGCTCTCACTTAGTCACCCAACCTGGAGTACAGTAGCATGATCATAGCTCCCTGCAGCCTTGAACTCCTTTGCTCAAGGGATCCTTCTGCCTTAGCCTCTCAAGTAGCTGGGACTATGGGAATGCCACACCACACCCGCTACTTTTTTTGTTTGTTTTTAGTAGAAATGGGGTATTGCTATGTTGCCTAGGCTAGTCTCAGACTCCTGGCCTCAAGCGATCCTCCTGCCTCAGCCTTCCATAGTGTTGGGATTACAGGTGTGAGTCACTGCACCCAACCTGCAACATTTTAAATTAGAAGATCCTGTCTTTTTTGGATTCAGACTGTCTCTGCAGCTGGACGTCAGACACGATTTATGCTCATCAAAGCTTGTCTTGTTAAAGTTATGAAGACAGTAAGAACTGTTAAGAGAGGCTGAGCACGGCGGTTCACACCTGTAATCCCAGCATTTTGGGAGGCTGAGGCAGGAGGATCACTTGAGGTCAGGAGTTTTTGACCAGCCTAGCCAACATGATGAAAACCCATCTCTACTGAAAATACAAAAATTAACTGGGCATGGTGGCTTGCACCTTTAGTCCCAGCTATTGGGGAGGCTGAGGCAGGAGAAGCGCTTGAACCTGGGAGGCGGAGCTTGCAGTGAGCCAAGATTGCACCACTGTAGTCCAGTCTTGACGACAGAGCAAGAGTCCATGTCAAAAAAAAAAAAAAAAAAAAACTGTTAAGAGAGAAGATAGATTCTTCTGCACCTCAGCATTTCTGCTTTTTTGAATGAACCAGGGCTTGCCACTGAACATATCAAGAATCCAGTTTGATATATACCAAGGACACTATGGCTTAATGGGCAACAGAAATAACTTGGTGTTAACAGTGAACGACTGGTTTGTTTTGGTTTTGGTTTTGGTTTTGATTTTGCTTTGAGACAGGGTCTCTGTCACCCAGCTGGAGTGCAGTGGTGTGATCTCCGCTTACTGCAACCTCTGCTTCCCGGGTTCAAGTGATCTTCCCAACTCAGCCTCCCTAGTAGCTGGGACCACAGGCACTCACCACTACACCTGGCTAATGTTGTTTTATTTTTTTTAAGAGAGTGTTTCACCATGTTGCCCAGTCTGGTCTCGAACTACTGGGTTCAGTCAGTCTGCCCACCTTGGCCTCCCAAAGTGTTGGGATTACAGGTGTGAGTGAGCCACTGCACCTGGCTGAGAGACTGTTTTAAAGTGTATTCTGGCTAGGCATGGTGGCTCACGCCTGTAGTCCCAGCACTTTGGGAGGCTGAGGCGGGCAGATTACTTGAAACCAGGAGCTCGAGATCAGCCTGGGCAACATGACAAAACTCTACCTCTACTAAAAATACAAAAAAAGTAGCTGAGTGTGGTGGCAGGCGCCTGTAATGCCAGCTACTCGGGAGGCTGAGGTGGGAGGAAAGCTTGAGCCCAGGAGGCGGAGGTTGCAGTGAGCCAAGATCATGCCACTGCGCTCCAGCCTGGGTGACAGCGAGAGCCTGTCTCAAAAATTTCAAAAAGTGTATTCCACCATGTAGTCCTCAGCTGGAGAGATCAAAGAGTTGATGGCAGCGTGGCTGGCTGCCTTCACCTTCCAGGGGGACAGGCGGCGTGTCTCTCCTCAGACCAAGAGGAGATATGAGGGGAACAAAGGAGAGAGGCTGTCACCCGGATGTAGGGGTTGTGTTAATTCTCTCTTGCTGCTGTAACATGTTAGCACAAACAGTGCTTTAAACCAGCACACATGTAGCGTCTTGCAGTTCTGGAGGTCAGAAATTCAGAATCTGCAGACCCCAGGCTGGAATCAGGGCGGGAGGAAGGCTCTCAGGGAGAATGCCTGGCTGCCCTTTCCAGCCGCCTGTGTTCCTTGGCTCACACCTCTTTCTGATTGAGTCCCAGGTCTTCTGGCTCTGACCCTGACTCCTCCCTTTTTCTCTGATGAGGACCCTTGTGGTTGTTTTGGGCCCACCCGGCTTGTCCAGGATCACCCCCTTCTCAAGGCCAGCAGTTAGCAGCTTTCATTCCTTCCATACCCTTCATTCCCCAGCCATGTGACTGACCCAACACGTTCACAAGTGCCAAGGTCGTGGACAGTTGTGGGGGCCGCCATGCTGCCACCCACAGGGAAGAAAGTTCCATCAGGATGACAGTTGTGGGCTGGGAGAAACTCCGGAATGAGGAGCGGGACATGGTGTGCCCTCTCCTTCTCTTCGTGCTGACACGGGTTCTCTTCTGCTGCATGCTAGAGACTTTAGGAGAGGGAGAAGGGGTGACTTCTTCGCATTCATCTCCCCGCACTTCTGTCAGGAAATGAAATCCCACGCAGCACTTTCTGTTTCAGTTCTCGTGGAGTCTCTGCATCTGCCTCTTTGTCTACATCCCTCTGCCTCCTGTCCCCGTCTCTGTGCCTCTCTATCCCTGTTAGTCTTCCTGCCTGTCTCTGTGCCTCTCTGTCCCTGTCTCTCAGTCTTCCTGTCTGTCTCTGTCTCCTGTCCCTATCTCTGTTCTTTTCTTTCTGTCTCATGTCCCCATACCCCTGCCTCCCAGCCTGGCCCTGGCCCTCTGCACGGCCTCCTCCCTCCTCTAGTGTCTGAGTCGGGAAACAGCAAGTCCTGCACTAACTGTGGGGTTTGCTTACACTGCACAACCTGCTCTTTCTGACCTTTGTGGTGCTTTCAGATCATCTGATGATGACTCACTGCTGGGCTGCTGGAAAGATAATTGCACTCCATCTTTGCTGGAGACTGGGGGGGCCCTTGGGAGGTTGTAATTTTGGGGGCAGAGATGGTAGTGTTTTCCGTTATGCAAACAAGATGCTAATTAGACCCTAAGGGAAAACAGCCCCTTTCCCCTTCCTGGGTCAGAGTTGCCTTGCACCCAGAAATGCCCTCCCTGTTCTGGGAGCCTCTGGACTCCACTCCCTATCCTGCCCCTGACCAAGCCTTCGGCGTTGAGGAGGTTGGTGTCCAGCCAGCGGCCCGGGGGCTGCTCATCTGACCACACCAGCTGCACTGATGCTCGTCGGGGCCGGAGCGGGACACGTGGATGCTGCTGGGGGAGCAGGGAGAAGTGTAGAGCTGAGGATGGTGGTGGCAAAGGCTTCCACTGCCTCAGACCTCACTAGCCTGTCTGTTAAGAAAGAGAGGGAGAGGGTGAGCTCACCCCCCTGCGCAAGAGGGTGAGGCAAGCCGCAGCCCTGGCGTGAGGATGCCGATGCCAGCTCTGAAGCTCTGTGATCTGTTGACTCAGCTTGCTGTTAGTTGTCATTCAAATTTGCAGCTCACCAACTTAGTGACCCTGTGAGGGGACATCTGGTTTGTGCAGTCAGCAGGGGCAGGGCAGAGTTGCTGCTGGGCTGCCTTCCCCAGGGCTGGTGGGGATGTGGGGCTGTGCCCGTTCTCTCCACTGCTTGCTCTGCCCAGTGGCCTGGGTGGGTCTGTGGACTCTGGAAGGGCGGGCTGAGCGGGCCCCTCCCTGTCCCCTCCTGACCCTGGGCTCCCCTGGGGAGGTATGTTTGTCCAGGTTTTGTGAACTGCCTTTGACCTCCCTGTCCTGCCGTTTCTCCCTCCCAGGTTGGGGTGACTCGGTGGGAACGCCATCTGAGCGGGGCATGACCTATGATGCACTCCACGTTTTTGACTGGATCAAAGCAAGAAGTGGTGACAACCCTGTGTACATCTGGGGCCACTCTCTGGGCACTGGGTAAGGGACCCCAGCAGGAGGCAGCCTTTAGTGGGAGCCAGTATTCCTGGTGACTGCCATGCCTGGATCTAGAGAGCCCGCCATCCCTGAAAACCCTGTGGCACCATTAGTCCCAACCAGCCTTGCTCCCGTCCCCGTGGCAGAGGCAGGAGGGGAAATTCCAAAGATACTCCAAAGGATTTGAGCTCCTCGTCCAGAAAGTGGTTCAGGACAGACATAGGCCGTGGAGGTCGAGGCGTCTCCACAGGGGGACTTGGCCCTGAGGAAGAAGCGTCTTCAGAGCTGGGGGAGGGCACAGTGGGTGGTTTGCTTCTCACATAGGCCAGGACAGGAGGTACTTCCACACGCCCTTTGTGGGCAGCCGGAGTCATCTCTGCTGTCCACAGTCTCTACGGGAACCGTTGCTCTCGGCCCCAATCCCCAGACTTTCACTGCCATTCCCTTTCTGCTGCCTTTCCCTTCAGGGCAGCCCTTTCTCCCAGCGCCTGAATGGTCTCTTGCAGGCTGGGAAGCGTCCAGGAGAGGAGTGGGTGGGGGGTACTGGCCATCCTTTTGGCCATCTGCATGGTCCGCCAGGTGTGGTCCTGGGATGGCGAGAGGCCCTGGGTGTGGTGGGCTCCAGGAGAGGTGCAGGCAGATGCTGGCCACCCCCAGCCGACGGGCGGCCCTGCCAATGGGAAGGCATGGGCAGTGAGAGGCAGCAGGACACACCTTGGGGACAAGGAGACTGACTGTGGGTACAACCCTCATTGCAGGGGTCAGCTGTGGTAGGGCAGTCAGGTCACCCCCAGTGCTAGAGGGATCTCCATTTCCCCCACTCTGTCCTCCAACTCCAGTAGCTTCACAGACCCCGTGGCTCCTCTGAGCACTTTCCAGCATAAGGCCCATATCATCTCAGACAGTTTTATCATAACTCAACTACGCTCTTCTTCTTTTTTCCTAGTGTGGCAACAAATCTGGTGCGGCGTCTCTGTGAGCGAGGTGAGTGCCTTGTTGGGCCCCATCCATGGCCGTGAGCATTCAGCGTGCTCCCCAGTCCCGGCCCTGCTGCAAGTGCTCAGCATCCTCACGGAGCAGCACGAGCTGGGCATTCTGGGGGGCCCGGGGCTGACCAGGCCGCCCTTCCCATGATACACCTGAGGAGCTGGGGAGCCTCACACAGGCCTGGCCCCAGAGAGGCCGCATCAGCAAGTCCGCTTTTTAGGAGTGACCAGAGCCATCTCCGGCCCGCCGCGGGCGCCCCTGGAGCTATCTGAGGCCTGCCAAGGTGGATGCCTAGGGGGAGGCACTGTGGTCTCCCTGTGCTTTCTGGGGGCCCCTCAGAGCCCCACAGGCCACGTGTATGTCGCTGGCTTCCTGCCCACCTCTCAGTTCCCTGTTTGTTTATCTAGAGACGCCTCCAGATGCCCTTATATTGGAATCTCCGTTCACTAATATCCGCGAAGAAGCTAAGAGCCATCCATTTTCAGTGGCAAGTACATATTTTATTAAAAATTGACTTCTCATTATTAAGATAATTATAGAAATAACTCATTATTAAGATAATTATAGAAATAACTAATAGGATAGGTTATGACTTAAAAATTATTTAAATATGCTAATGAATACAGATTTCATTAAAAATTAATACTAGTTTTGGCCACAGAACTGCCTGAGAAGTTTATAACCTGCAGCCAGGTGAAATGACAGGCCATAGTTGGGTCATGTGAGGGCAGCGAGACCCAGTGGAGGCCGGGTCCACATGGTGTCATCGACTGCGTTATATTGACAGTCCTGCCTTCCCGCTCAGGAGTGGAGCTGGGGGTGCCCCCCTCTCTGTGTATGAGGACAGTGCTTGGGGAGCTGAACTCTGTGGACGAGGGAGCCTGGCCTCCCAGTTTATCTTGGGGAAAGGCCTGGGTGAACCCCAGTGGGAATTCTGGGTAAGCCAGGCCCCACCCAACCTGTGCCCTCCCCAGCTAGGAATGGAACCTTGGACCTTTTCTTAAAACCTAGCCAGTTATTCTCCCCTCCTTCTCACGCTGGTTTGTGATCTCCGTGCTCCCCACTGGCCATAGATTCTTGGGCCTGTGTCAGCCCATCCTGGCCTCATGCTGTTCTGTTACTGACCAGAAAAGCCTTTTATCTTATCTTACTTTTTGGTGCTGCTTTTCTTAAATTGTGTGAGGAAACTGTCCATAGACCCTATTTTCTCAGGGGTGGCAGCCCTGGTGTCTATGGGAAGACTGGTTTCTGGGCTGGATTCCGGCCTAGCTGGGAGGTGCGGGAACACCATTTGCAGGGCAGCCCCTGCCATGCCAGTCTGTGGGGCCTGGCAGGTGATTCTTCTGTCCCTAGCAGCAAAGCCAGGACACGGCCAGGGCAGAAGGTGCCAGGGCACAGCTCTGGTGGCCCCTTGGCAATGTCACCCCTGCTCCTTTAGATAGGGTAGTTATGGGCAATGCCTTGTAGATTCCTGAACTTAAACTGTCTGCACCCTTGACCTTTGACTGGATATCTTAACCAACACTTCTGAAAATGGTTTCCATCTTGTCTCCAGATATATCGATACTTCCCTGGGTTTGACTGGTTCTTCCTTGATCCTATTACAAGCAATGGAATTAAATTTGCAAATGACGAAAAGTGAGTACTATGGGATAGGAACTAATTTTCCTATTTAGAAAAACTCTGAGAACCCCTGGATGAGCCTCTTTAGTCACAGTAATCAAATAGGATGGAATTCAGAGTATTTAGGGTCGTTCTCTAGCAAACAGGTTTAAAAAGGGAAAGCCTGCCAGGGACCGTGGTTCACACCTATAATCCCAGCACTTTGGGAAGCTGAGGAAGGCAGATTGCTTGAGCCTAGGAGTTTGAGACCAGCCTGGGCAAAATAACAGGACCCTGTCTCTACAAAAAATCCAAAAATTGGCCAGGTATGGTGGTGTCATGTACCTGTGGTCCCAGCTACATAGGAGGCTGAGTTAGGAGGATCACTTGAGCCTGGGGAGGTCAAGGCTGCAGAGAACCGTGATTGCACCACTGTACTCCAGCCTGGCTGACAGAGAAAGAAATAAGAAATCTGAAAAGATCACAGAAGTAAAGCAATATTAAAATAATACATAGTTTTTGTCCATATAGTTTTTTGTTTGTTTGTTTGTTTGTTTTTGAGACAGAGTCTCACTCTGTCGCCCAGGCTGGAGTGCAGTGGCACAATCCGCTCACTGTAAGCTCCGCCGCCTCCCAGGTTCACGCCATTCTCCTGCCTCAGCCTCCCGAGAAACTGGGACTACAGGCACCCACCACCATGCCCGGCTAATTTTTTTTTGTATTTTTAGTAGAGACAGGGTTTCATGGTGTTTGCCAGGACGGTCTCGATCTCCTGACCTGGTGATCCACCCGTCTCGGCCTCCCAAAGTGCTGGGATTACAGGTGTGAGCCACCGCGCCCAGCCCCATATAGTTGTTTTATTTCAAAATGGTTTGTGACAGCCAAAAGACATATTAAAACAGTGATATTAACTGGTTGGTCTTTCTTTCTTTCTTTTCTTTCTTTTCTTTCCCTCTTTCTCTCCCTCTCCCTCTCCCTCTCTTCTTCCCTCCCTCCCTCCCTTCCTTCCTTCCATCCCTTCCTTTCCTTCCTTCCTTCCTTCCTTTTCTTTCTTTTCTTTCTTGACAGAGTCTTGCTGTGTCACCCAGACTGTAGTGCAATGGCGTGATCTCGGCTCACTGCAATCTCTGCCTCCCAGATTCAAGTGATTCTCCCTCCCGAGTAGCTGGGATTACAGGCACCCACCATCATGCCCCACTAATTTTTTGTATTTTTGTAGAGACAGGGTTTCACCATGTTGGCCAGGCTGATCTCGAACTCCTGATCTCAGGTGATCTCCCCGCCTTGGCCTCCCAAAGTGCTGGGATTACAGGCATGAGCCAGTGTGCCCGACTGATACTAACTTACTCAGAAAATGACTTTGCCTCAGCCATTTGATTTGTGTTTGGTTATAGGAAAATATTACAAAGTTTATTGTTAAAAATATATTAGATAAACCAGAAGTTAACTATTCTAATTAAGGGTTCTTTTTTTAAACCTTTTTCAGATTGCATTGACATTGTCTTTGTGACATTTTTATATCATGGATTTTGATTTCTTTAAAAAAGAGGGAAAGTAGGCTGGGCGCGGTGGCTCACGCCTGTAATTCCAGCACTTTGGGAGGCTGAGGTGGGTGGATCACAAGGGCAGGAGATCGAGACCATCCTGGCTAACACAGTGAAACCCTGTCTCTACTAAAAATACAAAAATTAGCCGGGTGTGGTGTCTTGCACCTGTAGTCCCAGCTAATCAGGGGGCTGAGGCAGGAGAATCACTTGAACCCGGAAGGCCGGAGTTTGCAGTGAGCCGAGATGGCGCCACTGCACTTCAGCCTGGGCCACAGAGCGAGACTCTGTCTCAAAAAAAAAAAAAGAGGGAAAGTAAAACACCCTATAAATATTTAATTTAATTTGAAACAGAATATGAAAAAAAAGGAGTATTTTTTCCCCTCAAGTATGTTTTGGTTCTAAAAATAAAAATAGAACAAATTAAAAGTTGAGCAAATATATTAAGCAACAAACCGTGCTTGTTTGTAAATGTTACTGTTTTGGAACTTGAAAAAGAATTATCCGGGGGGCGTGGTGGCTCACGCCTGTAATCCCAGCACTTTGAGAGGCTGACACGGGTAGATCACCTGAGGTCAGCAGTTCGAGATCACCCTAACATGGTGAACCCCACCTCAACTGAAAATACAAAATTAGTTGGGCGTGGTGGCGCATGCCTGTAATCCCGGCTACTTGGGAGGCTGAGGCAGGAGAATCGCTCGAACCCGGGAGGCAGAGGTTGCTGTGAGCCAAGATCATGCCATTGCACTCCAGCCTGGGCAACAAGAGCGAAACTCCGTCTCAAAAAAAAAAAAAAGAAAAGAAAAGAAAAAGAATTATCTGAATGAACTGGATTCCTTCTTAAAAAACAAGGTTTCAGCTGGGTGTGGTGGCTCACCACGGTAATCCCAACATTTTGGGAGGCTGAGGCAGGCAGATCACGAGGTCAGGAGTTTGAGACCATCCCGGCCAATATGGTGAATCCCTGTCTCTACTAAAATACAAAACAATTAGCCGGGCCTGGTGGTGCACGCCTGTAGTCCCAGCTACTCGGGAGGCCGAAGCAGGAGGCAGAGGTTGCAGTGAGCTCAGATTGCACCAGTGCACTCCATCCAGCCTGGCGAAAAAGCAAGACTTGTCTCAAAAAAAATAAAACAAACAAAGCAAGTTTGACCCTGGGTGAGACCCCCACCCTCAGCTCACTGGAAGTCGGGGGCATGCTCTGAGGGCAGGAGGGGCTTTCCTGAGCTCAGGTGGGCCGTGTTCCCGGAAATCCCAAGTACTGCCGCTTCCTTCACAGCCTCTGGTCAGAGGGAGGCTCTGACCAGAGCCTCATCATTTCCGCACATCAGAAAAGCCTTACTGGGAAGCAAGAGTGTGTGCCTCCTGCCAGCAGCAGAGACAGGGAGGGGGCTCCCAACCAGGTCCTACTCCAGGTTCCAGGAGCGCGCCAGCGCTGCCCTCACGGAACCCACAGCCCTGTTGGGGATAAAGGAGACTTGGGTCAGGTGCCACCTTAGTGAGGGCCACACAGGACAGCCGAGGCTCTGCCGGTCCTGGCAGCCCATGCTTCTATTATGTGGTTTGCTGAAGGATTTGGCTCTATCAAACCTACTGAAAATCCTAAATCACTTCTAAATGTTCAGAGTTGGAGTGACCATAAATGTCACTTACACAAAGATAAATTAGAGGACACTGACTTTTTTTACCAGCAGATTCCTAGTAACATTCATTTACACTAAGTTTCTTGGCCCACCTGAATTATTCAGCTTAAAAATATTGTTTTGTGACTTTTAAAGAATATATCTGGTGGAAAAATAATCATTTTCAATTTTCAGAAGACATTCCCGGGGCCAGTTACATAGCTGTGATTGACACCTGTCATCTAGCTGGAATAGATGTTCATAGAGACAATGAAGAGTTAACTTTCGGTTGTCTAGTAAAAAGAAATCCAGCAGAAATCGGACGGTTCCGTGAAACACACCCTGAACCCAGATCCCTGCCACAGACAGAGGGTCTGGGCAACTCTGTCCTTTCCCTGGTCTTGGCCTAGCCCCTTTTCCTTCCCACAGTGTGAAGCACATCTCCTGTCCCCTACTCATCCTGCACGCTGAGGACGACCCGGTGGTGCCCTTCCAGCTTGGCAGAAAGGTGGGTCCTGGCCTCTGCCTCTGGTGTAGCTGGCATCTTGCACACTCAGCCAGTGTGGGTGAGCCAGGCTGGGAGTGGGCAGGTGGGAAGGCAGCCCCTGCATGCTGCATCATGGGCCGTGCACCAGCCACGTCAGGCTCAGGAGGCCACCTCGTCCTCCCTGTGTCACCTCCAGGCTGCTTCGGAAGGACATGGGAGGTCTGGTGTCAAGGTTGGGCAGAGGCCCACTGATGCTGTCTCCAAGAAGAACTGTGAAAAATAAGCAGATAGTTCCCAGTTCTCACACAGGGGTTCTCAGGGCAGGCTGCCTGTGTTATCAGAGCCCAGGCAGTTCCCAGTCCTCACACGGGGGTTCTCAGGGCAGGCTGCCTGTGTTATCAGAGCCCAGGCCAACCTGGCACTCGGCTGGAAGGGCTCATCAGTTATGGGCTGAAGGCAAAGAACCCCTCGATGAGGATCTCCCAAGCCCATTGCAGGGGTCAGTCAAAATTGATACAGAAACTTCTAGCCTGTTTCCTTGCCTTTGGAATTGCACTGATGTCAGAACCAGACCATGTTGTCTGTGGGGCCTCAGTGTTTGCTTTTGCTGAATTTGCTTTGACTATCAGCAAGTTGGATTGGATTTGTGGCTCAGAGTAGGGTAAGAGAACGCAGCCTGGGTCTTGGTAATGGCAGGGCAGGGTAAACTAGTTGGGTGCGTGCAGGCCTCGTCCACGGATTCAGCCCAGGGCTGGGAGCACTTCCTGCTCTGACAGCCCCCATGCAGTGAGGCTCCATAAGGCACACAGATGACAGAGCCATACAGGGTAGGGGCAGGATGCAGAGCCGCCCAGCAGCATATAGCTCAGGCCCACCCACCCTTGCCGACATGGGAGGGAGGGGGCTGAGATGGGCATATCAAGCCCATCTTAGCTAAGCCTGAGGCACATACCCTTTGTCCCAGCTCCCGAAGACTCTGCCATCCCTGCCATCAGAGCCTCCCAGGCACCTGGTCTGGCCCATCCACCTAGCCACTCCCCAGAGGAAGGGCAGTCTGGAAGGTGTGAGGACAGTATCTTGAGTGGTGTGTGTGCCAAGGAGCCAAGCCTGGGGCCTGGCTCCTGCCAGCCCACCCCTGGGCCTCCTAGTTGTGACTGGCTGTGGCAACAAGCAGTGTATGTGGGACTCTGGACTGGTTTCTATTGAAGGGGAGGCTGCCAAGCTGATGTTCCTCAGGCTGGGACCCCCATGCCAGGCCACTGCCTCAGTCTCTGACCCCTTTCTCTCCCCAGCTCTATAGCATCGCCGCACCAGCTCGAAGCTTCCGAGACTTCAAAGTTCAGTTTGTGCCCTTTCATTCAGACCTTGGCTACAGGCACAAATACATTTACAAGAGCCCTGAGCTGCCACGGATACTGAGGTGAGACATTCTCTTCCCACCCAGGCGCTTCGTCTGGGCAGCAGTGGCTCACATCTAAGCATGCAGCCGGTGGCAGCTGCTGAAGCTGCTCGCAGGGGGGCCTCAGTGGGGCCAAGAGTCACAGTGATTTGGGAGCCTTCCATTTCCTTGGCAGAGGGGTGTGAGGGAGTGCCTCTCCCCCCCTCCAGGACTGTTCCCATGATCATGCAGGGTAAGCCGCCTCCCTGTTGTACAGAATGTACAGACTCACACAGACCCACACAGAGGGGCACACACGCTCACAGGTGGCCACACACTTGAGAGCACTCAGACACAGACACCCCAGATGCTCGCAGACCTCGGATCTCTTCCACACACCTCTCAGATGTACATGCTGCCCCTGGTCCAGCTCCTCAAAAGCCTGTTGGTCCCCAGCTGCTTCTTGAAGGGACGCTGTGCTCCTGGACTGCCCTGCACTAGCAGGACATGGGCGCCAGCCCAGAGAGCCATGAGTACCTACCTGGGCCTGAGTGCAGAGCCCAAGCCTGAGGGTGAGGCCTTGGCAGTAGTGACAAGGGCAGCATGTGGAACGGACCAACCCCCAGCCTTCTCTGTACTGCCCTGGGCCCTATGCAGGTTGCTGCCCAGACTCGCCTACCTGCCCGTCAGAGGACACAGGCTCCATCCCACCGCCTGGCTGGTGTGGCCTTGGGCAAGATGCTAACCCTCCCTGTGCATGGGACAAGGCTTCCGAGCCCAAGAGGGCATGTGGTACTTCGACCCTGAGCACTGGACCCATGGAAGGGCTGCTGCTAATGGTGATAGGGTTTTTTGTTGTGTCGTGCCAGTCGGCTCCAAAAAGTAGGTCAAGGTGCCAGTTTCTCCCAGAAGGGGACTGAAACTGGTGGCCTGAATTGCCTCCCAGTGCTGTATATCCTACGGGTAATTCTACTGCAAACTTCTGCTTTTCTCCAGCCGCCTTTGGAAGTTCCAGAGGCAAAGCTGTGTCCCTTTAGCGGTTTGCCATTCCCGGGCACAGGGACCTGGGTTGCTGAGGGGACAGTGGGCTCGAAGAGTATAGGTTTGCTTTGTGGTTATAATTTTCCCCCTTATAAAAGGAAGATTATAGAAAATTTAGGCCAGAGAATAGCTCTGAAGTTGAGGGTCAAGAATCAGAGGCCTTGTGTCCGTGCCTGTGTGCTGGGCTTTGGCACCGTGCTGCTTGCGCCCTGCCTAACTCACTGAATGCTGCTCTGGGCTACAGCGAGTCCTCACAGGGCTCTTGGCTGCCTCCTCTCTGCACAGCCTCTGCTTCCTTAGATAGCAATGTGAGGACTGTGGAGAAGGATCTTTGCTCAAATCTGAGCTCAAATGATTGGCTCCTGATTGTCCTGTGGTCTAGGGAATTCCTGGGGAAGTCGGAGCCTGAGCACCAGCACTGAGCCTGGCTGGGGGAAGGAAGCATGAAGACCTCTGCCCTCCTCCCATTTTCCTCCGGTCAGCAGCCCGGCATCCTGGAGCCCCGGGGGGCCAGCACCTGCAATGCTCAGGAGCCCAACTTGCACCTGGAGAGGACTCAGATGCCAGGTGGGGAGGACCCTGCAGGCCTGCAGTGCCCGGAGGCCTGAGCGTGGCTGTGTGTGGAAAGCGTGGGTGGCAGGCACGTGGCTCTCCTTGCTGCTACGCAACCTGAGATCTTGTTGGGAGACTTATTGACAGCAGGCAGCCATCACTGCCTGGTTGATGCTGCACTGAGCTGGGCAGGGGGAGGCCGGGCAGGGGACTCTTAGGGCTCAGGACCATGCTGAGCTTTCCGGCACCACCCACAGAGAACATGGGGTCCAGGTTCTTTCTGCCCCTTCCCAGCACACGCAGAATGACTCCAGTGGTTCCATCGTCCCCTCTTGCCCTGTGTACCTGCTTGCCTTCGTCGGCTGCCCTGCCTCCTCTGGGCTGGCCCACTCACCCACAGTGGAGGTGCCCAGGATCTGCACTTCCTCCCCTTTCACCCACCTGTACGCCTAACCTGGCCTTAGACTGAGCTTTATTTAAGAATAAAATTGTGGTGGTGGTCCTTTTGTCTCTCTGCAGCGCAAGAAGGGTCAATGTTGCCTCCTGCCCCGCACACTCTCAAAGCCCCAGAGCCGCCCACAGCCCCAGCCAGGCTCAGAGCTCAGCCTCTGGCTGCTTTGGAGCCACTCCATGACTCAGCCTCAGGCTATGAAATTTCCATTTCCAGCAGCTCAGAAATTTGTCAGGAGTAGGAAGTTTTGTTCACCTGCCCACCCCTTTCTCCAAGTTGCAGGCCCAGCATCAGCAGCTGTGGGCTGGCAGGGAGCCCAGAGGTCCTTGCGGTTGCACTCCCTCTTCGCTGGGGTACCCTGAGCTACCTACAGTGGCTCTCAAATCCAGAGAACACTTTTCCTACACAGGGGAGCAGCTGAGTAGACATTCCTCCAGAGGTCAGTCATGAAAACGCTGGCCCCCTTCCTGGCCAGGGTATGTCCCGGCTCCCCGTCTCTAATTAGGGTGTCATTTCTGTTCTGCCCACCCATGGCCCCGGAGACACCACGTGCCCCTGGGTTGGGATCTCCCTGCGCAGCCATCTGAGCCGGGAACCCACGTGGCGTCCCAGACTGTCTCTGCGAGGCTATAGGAACCCCTAGGGGAGCCAGGCAGCCCCTTCTTTAGGACGCAGGTGGACTCCAGCATAGAGCCCGAGGCTGCTCTCCTGGCCTTGTCCCGCACTGTGGCTCCTGACCACGAAGCAGAGGCGACCTGCTCTACCTGGGCTAGCCTTCATCTTTTCCTCATTTTTTTGTCCATGTAAGCTACTTTGGATCCTTGGCTGGGGGACTGAGGCAAGATATAAATTAAAAATACAAGCTCCTAGTGGGTGTTGTTTTTTGAGACAGTCTCACTGTGTTGCGCAGGCTGGAGTGCAGTGGCACAATCACAGCTCACAGCAACTTCCACCTCCTGGGCTCAAGCAGTTCTCCCACCTCAGCCTCCCAAGTAGGTGGGACTACAGGCACATGCCACCACGCCCAGCTAATTCTTGTATGTTTTGTAAAAATGGGGTTTTGCCACGTTGCCCAGGCTGGTCTCGAACTCCTGAGCAATCCTCCTGCCTTGGTCTGTCAAAGTGCTGGGATTACAGGCATGAGCCATTGCACTCAGCCAAGCTACTAGTGTTTTTTACAAAACTGACAGATGCAGATCAGAGCGAGATGGGTGCACTGTGTGGCAGCTGCTCCGCCATCACCTGTCAGCTCATTACATCCAAGTGCCCTACCCAGGGCTGCTGAGCTCCATTGTCCAAGCAACTAATCCCTGGGAGAGAACCCCACAGACCTGGGGAGGCAGACTCCCAGGGCACCATCTTGGTGCCGCCCACCCAGGTGCATGGTGGGTGTAGGGACGAGGACAACCTGGCAGCACCAAGCCCTGCACGAGCAGGTCTCGGGCCAAGGACACCCACGGCACTCCAGCATCCCAGTTTTTGGGTCTTCAGGGTAGCACTGAGCCCTAGGCTCGTTTCTCCCGATTTCTTCATCTGCAACTATACAATTGAGGGGGGATGTTTTGGTCCCCAGGGCCAGGAGTGGGAGACAAAAGCTGCAGGTGCAAAGGGACCAGCACAAGTCACACCAGAAAGGCCAGTGTTTGTTATCCCCAGATAGCATGTTTAGTAATGGCTGGATTTGATAGGATTTTAAGAAAATAGCTAGCTTGGCCAGGAACAGTGGTTCACAACTGTAATCCCAGCACTTCGGGAGGTTGAGGGGGGTGGATCACCTAAGGTCAGGAGTTTGAGACCAGCCTGGCAAACATGGCGAAACTAAAAATACAAAAAATCAGCCAGGTGTGATGGTGGGTGCCTGTAATCCCAGCTACTCAGGAGGCTGAGGCAGGAGAATTGCTTGAACCCAGGAGGTGGAGGTTGCAGTGAGCCAAGACCATGTCATTGCACTCCAGCCTGGGCAACAAAAGCAAAACTCCATCTCAAAAAAAAAAAAAAAGCTAGCTGTTCAGGTACACGTGGCCCCAGGTCCCACACCTTGTGGAGATGCAAACTTTTCTGCCCTCAATCCCAGAATGATGGGGTATAATTCAGGCCCAGCTCTAGTTTCAGAGGCGGGACCTGCAGCCCACTTGCTGGTCTCATCAGGTCTCATCACTGCACTGGCACCACCCTGGGCCTCAGGCCTGTGTTCTCTGCTTCCCACAGCCTCACAATACCACCTGCAGTTGGTGAAACACAGACCCCACATCAGCCAACCACAGCCACAAAGGTTTAATCAGTTTATCTCACAAGTCAGTAACAATGAGGGGCACAGTGGCGGTCAGGGTGGTGGCCCCAGTGACCAGCTCAGGGAGTATGGCCTCCTCCACACAGTCACTGCCTGGGACAGATGCTATCAGGGCACGACCACAGCCCAGCACTTGCCCCACTCAATAAAAGGCTGTAGTGCTCTGGTGGGCTGTGCACCGCACGCAGATCCTCCTGGTGGGCACTGGAGGCCAGGGTGAAAAAGAGCCTCCCTGCAGCCCAGATCCAGCATGCAAGGTGCTAGATTTCTCAGCAGTTCCACAGGGAAGGACAGTAGCCTGTCCCTGCTCTCTCGCTTGGGCAATGGGAGGCAGGCTGGCAGCCCTGGGGAGGGGCAAAGCTGTGAGGGGCTCACCCCCACTTCCCAGTGCCAGGCCTGCTGTCCACGCAGAGCAGAAACGGGTTCTTCTGGGACCACTGGTCCTTCTTCCAGACGAGGCTGTGGCACTGGTAGAAAGGGAGGGAGAATGGAGCCTGGCTCTTGTGTGTACAACAGGAAATGCACATTAGGACACAGTGGGAGTCAGAGGGAGGGCACAGACCTGCCCCCAGCCAGGCAGAAAATGGGCCTCCCGAAGCACAAAAGTGACCAAGTACAATTTTCAGTTGCTAAAACAAGACTAGTTTCATTTCCATGTGTAGTTATTTTCTCTTTTGAATAAGCAAAACCAAGCTAAGCTGCATCAGCCAACTTCGTCTTGACCAAGACCTCTGAGACAGCAGACACAAGCACCCACTCCAATGTACCCCTCGGTCATCCCGAGTTCCAAGCACCCACACAATGCCCAGGATGGCTACAAAGGGAAAGCCCCATCTGGGTCCATGACCCATATACCAGGTGCAGAGCCAGGACAGAGGGCAGGGGGCTGTGAAGGCAATACCTGGAGGATCCAACCCCTCCCAGCATGGCCAGGAGGCAGAGCCGGGCAGGGTGACGGGCTACATGGGGCTTGGCCCTTCCCTGTGGCTGGCAGCCCAGATGCTGCAGTAATACGTCCCCAGGCTTCACTACAGTCACTGGCCCAGACCCCAGAATCCAGAGGCTCAACACTAAAGACATCAGCTAATACATAGCAAGATGCGTGCAAACTTCTAGGGGAGCCCAGCAGGCGACTTCACCTGCCTCCCACTCTGGTACTGTCGACTCTGTACAAACCTCCCCTTTGTACTGTCAACTCTGGCTTCCTTTATAAGAAACCAGGAGCACTTCTAGCACATTCCTTCTTTGCCCTGCTCTCTCAAAACCACCCTGACCCCCATGGCCCCTCCTGGAAACATGGTACTCAGAAAAGCAGGGACCACCAGCGGCTGGCAAAGTGCTTGGGGAAAAAAGGAGGTGCAAAGTCAGCAAGAAAACAAAAGCCCGCTGGTCCCGCCAAGGCAGGGTGCGCCTAGTCCCGGGGAATGTTGGGGGGCGGGATCTGCAGGTCGGAGGGCTCCACGCCCCAGATCTCCCGCGCATACTCTGTGATAGTCCGGTCACTGGAGAACTTGCCCGAGCAGGCGATATTCCTGATGACCTTCTTGGTCCACCCCTTGGGGTTCTGCAGGGAAGGAGATGAAATTAGTCTCTGGCGTCACAGGGCTAGGGGCTGCTAAGAGCATGGGATTCCAGAACTTTAGGACTGTTTCCAAATGAGCTCTGAGCCTTGGGGCTGTCCACTGGAAGAGGAGGACATTACAATCAATTGTTGAAAAGGGGACCCCACGGACCAGGAAAGCTACCACATACCTAGATACAGGAAGCAAGGAGCTGGAGAGAAGGTCCCAGCCTTGAAAATTCCTGCTAGGGCATGGCCCCCAAGATGACGATAGGGATAGCACCAGGTAAGAACTGCTCAGGCAGGGGCCGGGTGCAGTGGCTCATGCCTGCAATCCCAGCACTTTGGAGGCCGAGGCGGGCGGATCACAAGGTCAGGAGATCGAGACCATCCTGGCTAACACGGTGAAACCCCGTCTCTACTAAAAAATACAAAAAATTTGCTGGTTGTGGTAGTCCCAGCTACTCAGGAGGCTGAGGCAGGAAAAAGGCGTGAACCTTGGAGGCAGAGTTTGCAGTGAGCCAAGATCGCACCACTGCACTCCAGCCTGGGCGATAGAGCAAGACTCTGTCTCCAAAAAAAAAAAAAAAAATGCCCAGGCAGATCTAGTGCCAGCAGACATGGCCAAGCACTCTCCTTCCACCAGGGAGCCTCACAGCTGCCGCAAGCTACAGCTTGCACCAGGCCAGGCTTTCCTCGAGGCCAGCCCTGACTAAGGGAAGAGAAGGTCCCTCCCAGGGCCCTGCCTGGCACTCAGTTTCCAGGCCCCACGTTCTTTTCTTGGCCATTAGGAGCTGTTTTTTCAAGGGAGGGAGTGACAGTGACAGCTTCCCTAAAGGCATCCACAGCCGACTGATGACAAATCAGAAACACAAACCCCTCTGGCCTCGGCCAACAACCTACTCAGCTTGGGAAATAAACAATCCGACCCAACACGTCTACACGGACCCATCCAGCTGCTCCCCCAGCCTCTGGGCCCAGGAGCCTCACCCGGTACAGCTGGTCCACCTGTGCCTGGCACTGCACATAGGCTTCATAGTCTGCAAACACCTTGAACCTGGAATGGGAGAAAGGAGGCTGGGCCAGGGCAGCAGGGAGCCCTGCCCACACTGTCCCGGGGGGAGAGTCCCGGGGCAGGAGGCCAGGCACCATCCACCTGGTCCTGCCTGGAGCGAAGGGGCCCATGCAGCTGGTCAGAGCCAGGCTGC